TTGCTCGTGTCAAACTTTCAACTGGTAAAATCATTACTGCTTATATACCAGGTGAAGGACATAATTTGGTGAGTTTATATGTACGTAATTAAGTAATTAATTAATTAATTATTAATAATAATTTATTTAAATTGGCGTAGAGTGAACACAGTGTAGTTTTGGTTCGTGGTGGGCGTGTCAAAGATTTGCCAGGAGTTAAATATCATTTGGTCAGGGGAGCTTATGATTTTAGTGGAGTCCCTAACAGAATCAGTTCCAGATCAAAGTATGGGACCAAAAAACCAAAAACTACAGCAACCAAATAAAATAAAAACAAAATAACTGTTGTAACATTAATATGATATTTAGAAAATAAAAATCTTTTTCTGGCCAATCAATATTATAAATACAGACAGAATATAGAAAAAGTTAGCAAATTAAAGCTGCCCACATATAATTACAATTGAAAATCATCTGATTTCCAAAAGTGAATTTACATTTTAATTATTTTTTAAAAAAATATAAACATAATAGTATTACTGAGGATAATCAAGAAGAATGAGAAAGTGAGTTTGATTCTTTCATAGTTGCATTTTCATTTATTCTATATAGAAGATGGCAAAATCCACAAGAACACTCTCAATATTGAAAAGATCCAACAGGTCAGGGAGATTTAATAAAATAATTGGTATGTTTTTTCCATATGTTAATTTGGAATTTTACATTTAACCTACCTAGCATTTTTTTTTTATCATTTACAGTGTTACAAAAATAAAAATGGAAATTTTTAAATGAACAACTACTGTATTAGTTCATGTGAAAAATGGCTCATTTGATAGCTTAAAATCATAATTTTTATTGATAATATTTTAATAAGAAATCCTTTTGTCATTATTTTCAATGGACCAGTTCACATCTCGATTTCATTGAATGAATTAAACTAATTAGAAGTGAATTAGGAATTGCATCCCACTCCTCAGCCATAAACTGCACCAATTCCGCTAGATTTTTTGGCATTCTCTTCTCCACATTCCTCTTAACAATAGCCCACAAATTTTCTATTGGGTTTAAATCAGGACTGTTGGATGGCCAATCCATAACTTCAGGAAAGTTTTCTTGAAGAAATGTTTTGGCTTGGCGGCTTGTATGTTTGGGATCATTATCCTGTTGAAACTGCCAATCATCCCCTAACATTCTTTGGATCTCTGGGCAATGATTCTCCAATATTTCAACATAAAATTCTGCATTCATAATTTCTCTGAAGCAAAAAAGACTGGTCTTTCCATGGATGCAAAAGCCACCCCAAGCAAAAATTTTGGTGTATTGTATGAAAATCTAGGCCTTTTGCCTTCACATATGTCCATTGCAAGATGTCCATTATGTGCCAAATTATTAAAAGGTTGTTGGCCAGTTGATACTACAGACATCAGAACTCCAAAACTGTATATATCTGATGCTTTTGTATATGGGTTCCCCTTTAAAACTTCTGGTGCAACATATGGTAGTACTCCATATATACGATTTGGTGATGGTGTTTGACTAGCTATGAATGATAATCCTAAGTCTGCAATATATGAATATAAATCTGATTGAAGAATATTACCACTATGAAAATCACGATGAACAATTTCTTCCTTATGAATATCATTTAAACCATTAATAATTTGTCTAAGAATATAAATTTTGTCTTTCCATTTTAAATTTTTAAAATTTTTTGTTAAATAATAGTGAAGGCTTCCACTTTCTATATAATCCATTATAAATATATATTCTTTTGTAATTGGATCTTGTGTTAATCCATAAATATGGATTATATCTGCTTTATCACGAACCTTCATATAATTCATAAACTAAAATACAAATAAAATGTTTAATTGTGACAATAATATTTAAAAAATTGAAACTAATATTAATAAAATAAATTACCTCATTAAGAAATCCATCAGAAATATTCTGTGAATCATGCAGTTTTTTTAATGCCACAGTTAAATCTTTACTAGTTTTTTTGTTATTTTCATAATTTACACTTTTCATACCATTTAACCAAATAGCTTTGTATACAGTTGAAAAACCACCTTCACCTATCTTTTCAATATTTGTTAAATCATTATAAGGGATCCATTGAAAATACCAAAAATTATCATAATATTTTGCTTTAATTTGTGTGCTTTTAATCAACTTATCTAATGTTTCATTGCCACTAGTCCATCCTTCAGTTAATAGTTTTGGATTGCATGATTGACACCATGCTGAAAAAGTATTATATCTATTGCAAATTGAACATTCTCCATATCTTATGCTTCTTTTCGTTGAATATTCATCATCATCATCATTTTTGTCAGTAGAAGTGTCATCATGATGCTTATTGGTCATTTCGTTGAAAAAATTCTTTAATCTCTTTTTGCTCTCATTTAAGATCATTTGCATTTTTAAAAATTATTTATATTTTTTTTACCATATATAATTTATATAATTTCCAAAAAAATTTTTTTTAGCCACAATTTGTAAGTCACAGACAAAATATAACCAGAATTGCCACAGTTGTAATATATTTATTTGATTAAATTTTTTTAGTGCCAGAATTTATTATTAATAAAGATGGCCAACAAAGGCTAATGTTATTAATATAATATATTAGTAATACTATATATCCAAGCTAATATTAGACCGTGACTAAGCAATGGCGCAGTGAGCTGTTATATATAAATACTTGAAAAAAAATTAAAATGGAAGATAATATAATAATGGTAGAAAATTCATTAGAGGAAGTTGAAATATCAATTATCGAAGATAACAATAATTTAGCTATTACAAATTATACAAATACAAATATTGATAACAATGTGGAGCAAGTAAATGAAAGCTGTAATCCACATAATGGTTGTAATATTAATAAAATAAAATATAGCCATGACTTAAAGTTTTTCGTAACTCATAGTAAAAAAGATGAGTCAATAGTTGGATGGTTGATTGATCACGATAAGGGGACAATTCGAAAAGATAAATATTTTAAATATTCTGAAAGCAATTTATTAACTGCTATATATATAGAGATAGAGGATATTTCTGATGATAAATATATTCTTTTAAATAATTATGCTGATGATTGTCATAGTAAGTACTTTTAATCAACATTTTTTACATGTTTTTATTATTTATAAATGTAACAATAAATAACCATATATTTTTTAGAATTACTTGACTTCTCAAATGAAAATTATCATGAAATTCTATTGAATAAAAAAATTCATAATAATTTTGATAAAGGGTTTTTTACCACAAATAAACATTTAATTATGACAGAATATGATTATTCATATACAAAAATCCATGTTTTTACATATATGAACAACAATAACAATAGTATAAATGATGAAATAATCCATAAAACAACATCTATTGCTTTTAATAGTATGGATTTTTTTGTAAATTCCAATAATCTTCTGATTGGTAATCTTCACGGATTAATATCACGATGGAATGGTATAAATTTATCATACCAAGATACTTGCTATTTGATAAATAATAATGATTATGATGTAATTTTTAATAAAGACAAAAAAATAGTGGCTGCATATTACAAGTCAAATTCAAGGCTAGTTGTTTATTCATTAGAACGTAATATTATTATTTCTTCATGTAAGTATTATAATTAATATCATTTATATTTATGTTTACTTTATTTACTAATTGATAATCTTTTATAATTTGTAGTTAAATTGGAAAGCCACATATATATGAAAAAATTGGATTTTCTTTATACAAAAAATGAATTAGAGTTTTTATTAGTCATATTTAAATGCATTGCAACTAAAAATTATGAATATAAATTAATGAATCTTTACAACCTTAATGATTTTATTGATATTACAGACCACTTTAATGATCATATTATAGAAAACACAGATGAAAAGGATATTTTACTTGGACCAATTCTACTGGATGGGAAAATTATCATAGCTATCAAAAACCTGGTTTACATTAAAGAATTGATTAGTAAAGAAACATTAAAAACTCAATTAAAATTAAAACATAATAAAATATCATATATAGAAGAAATATTACATGAGATATATTATGAACTTTTAAGTTATGAAACACCTTTAGAATTTACTATTGCTGCTGGCAAATCAATTAAATGGTCAATAGAATATGATGATAAATTTCAAAATATAAATATAAAGGCTCAAGTCATTACCAATGAATCAAAAGACTGGATCACATTTGATGAATATGGTTTGGAATCTTACCAAAAATTCATATATTGTAAAATATTAAATAATGATGATTTGATTTTATTAACAGTGTTTTATAAAATAATTTTATCATTTAATGTTCAGAATTCTAAAATATTCATAAAATGTTTTAGAAAAACTCATTATGATAAAAAATATAGACAAAATGAATTTAAAAGAATCAAAGAATATATATATGACAATAATATTGAAAGTTATTTATTTGATGTTAAGTCTTTTTCTAATCTAAATTATTCATACATGGATGGACACCAAGTTTCTAGACAACCTTATAAAGAAATGATTTTATATATGTTGAATGATTGTTATTATCTTAACAAATATGGCCAAGAAATCTTAGATGAAGCATTAAGACACAACAATGGTATTTTTATAGAAGCAGCATTTGATTCTTTTTTTAACAGGTTTAAAAATGATACTGAATATAGCATCAGTTTATTGAAAATAATAATTTCAAAATTACCACAATTACAAAAACATGATCATAGATTATTATCAAAATTTTTTATTCAAACTTCAATAATAGTATATCCATTTCGGGATGGGATTTATCGTGAAAGCATTTTTTATAAAGCTGAAACTCATGACATTAGAATGTTTAAAGATAGAAGCATTTGGAGTTTTTATTATAACTATATTATAAAATATTATAAAATAGTTATAGTATTTTTAAAGAAATATTCAATTAAGGCAGATAAACCTGTTATAAAATTAATGATTCCTTTTCCTGGATTACTTACTTATGAAAATGATTATCCGTTCTGGAGGGAATTATTGTATAAACCAAAAAATAGTATATTCATCAAATTGGATACTTTAGAACTATATAAACATTGGAATGGCCAGGTCATCTTGGATTTCAAATGGGATAAATTTGGTTTTAAATATTATTTTGGAATTTGGATAATCTATATAGTATTTTTGTTATGCTTTTTTATTGTATCTACTCCTATGGAAGCAGATTTGCTTCCAAACAATAATCAAAATTCACTATTGATCATCACAATTATACTTGGATTATTTCATCTTACGTTTGAAATAAGGCAATTTATTTGGGATCCAGCAAAATATATTACTGATCTTTGGAACTACTTTGGTAAGTGGTTTTTTTAATCATTTATACGGAAATAATAATAATTTATTAATCATATCAATCATTATTCATAGACCTAGGTGCTTATTTTTTGCCAATTATTACTTCAATATTATGGCTGCATAATAATAATCCACCATCCAATTGGTTGATTTCATTATCTAATTTATTATTAGATTTAAAATTTATGTTATTCTTAAGAGTTTTTCATTATTTTGGAGTATATTTTGCAATAATGTTAGGAGTAGCAAAAAAAGTTATTTATTTTTTAGTGATATTATTTTTAATTGTTGTGAGCTTTTCACATGCATTTTATATATTATTGAGACCAAGACAAGATTTTACAGTAGATCAACCAACCATCAATGATGATCCTAACAATCCTTGGAATCTTGTTAATAAATATTATACATATTTCGCAAATAATAATTCATATAGTCAAGATTCATACTTTGTTCAACAACCCGATAATACTACCAATATGTTTACTCGATTTCCTTCTTCATTGCTAGCAATGTATAATTTTCTTGCAGGTAAAAACTTATCTATATATTATTTTTTATTAAAATTAATGGGTATGATGGATGGTTAACTTGACATCTTTTTGATAGGTGATAATGGAGCATTTGGATCTTGGCCATTACAAGATGATCCTTACCTGGCAACATTGGTATTTGTATTCTCATTCATAGTTGTGATATACCTTATGAATTTGTTCATTGGCCTGCTTAGCAATGAAATAGAAAAATATGATATTCAAGAAGCATTCTTGGCTCAAAAAGCAAAAATTATAGCTGAAATTGAATTATTTTATTTACTTCCTAATCAACGCCGGTGGAGAGATTGGTTTCCAGATATATTGTAACTATCTTTTTTGATTTTTTTTTTTAAAAAATATTTTAATTTATTAATTGGTATTAACATTGTTTATTAGAGCCTATAGTGTACCAGTTGATGATATTGTAAAAAAAATCAAAGAAATAGATGATAGTAATGAAGATCCAGATTATTTGCCATTTATTTCTAACCAACTTAGAAGCATGGTTGATAGGCCCAGACCAGACAAGCATAGATTGGAACAAATTGAGAACACAATGGAAATAATTTTGAAGAAATTAAAATGATAATGAATTAACTAAAAATTAGAATAATTATTATATAGATAATTTGGGAAATTGCAAAAATTGAAATTTGCATGCACATGATGTGCGCTGGAACACTCCTACATGTATTTTATTAATTTAAATGAATTCTATTTTGATTATTTGGCAGGGGGATGGGGAAATTTCAATATTTAACAGTGTGTTTAATTGATAAAATAAATACAATAATAATAAATTTTCGTGAAGAAATGAAACATAGTCAAAATGGGGGCAGAGCATAAACTCCAAAGAGCCGATTCGCAGATGCAAATTTGGCGATTGCGGCAATAGGAACCGATCTTTCAAGGAACCTAATTTTAAAGAAAAAAAACTGGGAGATATTGTGAAATAAGAATATTCAAAATACAAGTATTGTACATGACCCTCTCCTCATTGAAATCGTACTCTAAATGGTTGGCTGAACTTTCACTTTGTGATCATGTGATTATTGAAAGAGAATGAAAAATCTTGCGAAAAAGAATATGGAATTGAATCAATTTCTTAATATAGTCCATCCTTAATTTATTCTATTTTTAATTTTTTCGTCATGCTCCCAGTATCTTGTGAAATTGGCACTGATAAATTAATTTTTTAATTAATCAGAAAATATAATTTTCGTCTTCTATAATGTAATGAATTTCACTGCTACGTTGAAATATTACATATTTGTGTATATATATATATATATATTACAATATGGTATGGATCAAAGATTTAAATAAAATAAAGTTCATCAACAGTTAACATAATAAAATTTACAAGTTTTTTTATACAAATAATGTCTATATTTTTTTTTTGCTATATAAATACTAAATACTATATATAAAAAGAAATGAATTGAGAGAAAAGTATTTTTTGAATTAAATAAGTAAAATATATTTAAAATATACAAAAGAAAAATTTAATTTTAAATTAAAAAAAAAAACATAATAAATTAAACAAATTAAATTAAACAAAAAATTATAATTCTATCTAAAAAACATATTAAATTTATCGTTGTTGTCTTTTTTTTGCATGCGCTATAAGATCTCTATATTTAAGAATATAAATATTATGTATTAATTAATTAATATTATCCAAACATACAAAAGAATATTTTTGTCACTTACGAAATTATACTAGCCCAAGGTACGTTAACAAATGTCATGCAACATTTTAAATTCTCGGTATTTGATAAGGTTTGTTTTTCAGTTATTGACTGTGATAATCTTTTTAAAGATTGAAAAAATGAATTTGTAGAATTTGATCTTTGAGGTGTACTAATTGTTGCTGATTTGTTATTATGAATGTTGTTACCATCATTATTATAAGCAGAATTAGATTTAGAAGTCGCGTTATTTGTGTAGTGGTTATTATTATAAATATTTGTTGGAAGGTTGGCGATTTCTGACATCTCTTGTTCTTGTTCTGCAATTGATTCACCTAATGATAAAGCAGTAATTGCCACCTATGTGTATACATGTATATACATGTATGTATATATATAGACACACACACATAATAAATATTAATATTAATAAAATGTTAATATTAAAATTAAATTAAGTATATAATCAAAAGAATACCTGCGCATGACCTTTCCCATGTGGACCTCTCATCATAACATATTCAGTTGGAGGAGTGGTAGGACCTATTTTAAACCTCCTATTTAATTTGCCGTCAGCCTTTTGTTGATAAACGTCTAATAAAGAAGTATAAGATGCAGCACCTTGAAACAAAATAACTTTTGTATCTTTTTGTTGCGGGAAAAGATTATTTGTCATTGACCTTCTTTGTCTATTATTACGACGACGATTACTATTATTATCATAATAGTCATCACTAATATCATCATCATAATCTTCATCATAGTCGTCATCATCATCATCATCATCCTTATTAGTGCTATTTGGCATTGTGACTGCTAACTCTACACATAAATATTCATCTTGTGACACGATCAAATTTTCAAACATATCCTCATAATCATCAATAACATAATAAATAAGTGGGTATGAACATTCCATCGACGAATCTTTAACATCCATTCGTGATTTTGTTGGTAACGCATATACACGTTTTGATACATGTTTTTTTGAACATGTCATACTGCTCTTTTGATTATTAGAAGGTTCATTATTACTATTATTATTATTATTATTATTATTATTAACACTTGATGATGACAGTGAATTATTAATATTATCAGTAGTAGGTGGTATAGGTTGTGGTGGCGGTGGCGTAGGTTGTGGTGGTGTACGAGTACAAACTGCTACAGTTAACTTACATGGCAACTTTTTTTTTTTTAACATTCAACATTTATCATTATTAATATAATAATAATTTTGAAAAATTCAAATTTAATCAAAAAAAGAAAAAAAGATTACTTGAACTATTAAATTTAAAAAAAAAGTTTCTTTCCACAATACAGGATGATCCAAAGGGGGCATCGTATTAGGAGCGACTTTTCTTTTTACAAATACTGGATCCAAACTTTCATTTTCCGGATGCATTTGTCTAACGAAAAACAACAAATCATCATTTTTACTATCGCTATTTTCCAAAAAATATTCTACAAATAAACTTAGCCATCTATTTAAAATATATATGCTTGTGAATAATTTTAGTAAAGTTAATTGAAAGTAAATTTATTCGTTATGGGGACCTTGAATCTTCTGCATCTAAATCATCTTGATTAGAACGAGGCGAAATGGAAGCAAAAGTGGTAAGGGATGGTAAAGTATTGGTTATTGGCTCATGAAGGTTTTCAGCAATAAGTCGATCAAGAATGAGTTGTAAGTGAGACATGATATTTATTATTAATTTCTATTGTTATTGATCTAAAATGTAATTTAATGTAATAATAATAAACTATCAATAAATAGTGCAGCATTCGTACCACATAGATCGATCAATAAATAAAACAAATCTGTCTTATTTTGACAAAATATATTTCCCCTAATGGAATCTTCAATCGTTTCAGTATTAGATTCACTGTAAGTAAATTAAGTTATTATTAGCGTAATGCAATACAATGTATAATATATTTAGTTTATTTGTTAATTAAGTAGGATTCTTTTAATTTAATATTTATATAGAATTAATACAGATGGTGTTAAAGGTGTTTTGGTAACTGATAAACATGGACTATGTTTAGGCGGTAAGTTAAACATATACTGTTTATTATTGTGTTTACATGAATGTCTAATAACAAAATCGTTATTATTATAGTTAGAGGGATTGCAAATTCTGTTTGTTCAGGTTTTATTTCTTCAATTGCAAAATATGCAAAGTTATTAAATGAAGAGGAAGAAGAAGAAGAGGAAGAAAGTTCAATAACGATTAAAATCGAAACAGATAACATGTAATTATAATTATTTTTTTATTACTTTGTTTTATAAATGAATAAATAAATAAAATGAATTTCTATTTCTAATAATTATTATTATTATATGTATTCTATTTCCAATAATAATTATTATATATGTATCTATTACCCTCCCTCTTTTTTATTATCTTTATATATTTAGGATAATATTAATAAAAGATGATAGGAATTGCACCCTTGCAATATTTAAAGATAAATTATAAATTATAATAATTAAATAAATTAATAATTATGATTCAAATGATTAATTTTGTTTCATTGATTCAACTAATAATTTTACATTCATCTTGGTTTTCACGCCAATATGACATTGATTGATGTATCGCCCAAAATGTACTCAATGCTGCTGCGACGACAAAGAAATGGAAAATTTGGTGTGAAGAACCCTTTAAGATAGAGAAAGAAATATATTATATGTTATATATTATTATATTATTATTGTGTATGTATAAATTAATAAATATATTAAATAAATAGTAAAATTAAATTAATTACCAAAAAATCAAATGTTCCAGGTGATAATCTTTCAGGCATTCTAATTATTTAAAAATAATCATTTATTACATAAAAATTATTTTTATTTACATAATAATAATAATAATAATAATAATAATAATAATAATAAAATACCTTGATCCATATAATATTGCACCAACTACGTAAAATGAACCCGCCATAATTAACCATTTTAAAGAAACTTCATAACTAAAATTTAGCTGTCATACATATATAATTAAACCAGTATTATATTAAATTAATTAATTATTAAATGCAGCAGCACACTCCCTCCCTCGCTCCCTCCCTTCCTCCCTCACAATCGAATATATTACTTACCCCATAAATTGAGATGGAATGTAGGACAGGTAGTAATGAAGTTGATCCTAATAATAAAAATAATGACGTACGAAACCATCTGAATTCAGGTGTACGAAATTTTTTTGAAATTGCAACTGATATCTAAATTTTAATAATATGTTGATTGGTTGATTAATTATTATATTGTGTTATAAATATATAAATTTGATTTAATACAAACCGTTGCAACACCAAAAAGTGATATTAAAACAAGATAAAAAAATTTCAAATAATAATCACAATAGAACCCTAATAATATTTAAATTAATATTTAAATTAATTAATTAATTAAAATAATCAATTAAATTATTTTTTATTATGAAAATCTCAAACCATACCATAATATACCAAAGGAACATTTGATCCACTAAAAATATTATCAATAAAAAATATTATATCATTAATAAAAAAATATTGTTTAAATCTACTGATCATCATTAATTGAATTGATTGGTCACTTACACAATTAAAGCAACAATTCCAACGTAATCACATCTATTCCAACTTGCGCAAACCTATTATTATGATCAATATAATGTCTATATATATTGATATGGCATGATCGTAATTAATCATCATTATAATAAATTTAATTAAACATGTCACCTACCGGCTCAGAATGACAACTTACGGCATGAAATGCGGACGAGCATCCGAGACAAATCATTGCGCCAAATAAAAAGCAAAAAACTACCACAGTTTCAAAGAATTCAATTGTTGGTTCTGTTTTGAAATAAAGAAAAGAGAAAATTGAAAGAACCAAAAATATCATTGCTCCAACAAAATGAGACCAAATATTCACTAAATTGTTTAATTGATAAAAATTGATTAATAAATTAAATTTTATATTATTTTTATTATATCTTCATGAAAGAGCGAAAAAAAAGTATTTCCATCTTTACCACTTTCATTATGGAGATAAAATAACGAGTTTATGCATTTAATGTATGAGAATGTTGGTAACCTATATCCTAAGATTAAAGAATAACAATTATAATAATTATAAATTAGCACATTAATATATTTATTTATGTATTACTGCACAAATGTGTACTGTATATAAACACCTCTAATGATGGCACTGTTATCTTTCATCCAATTTGGCAATTCTGAAAAAGTGCAAGTAAGATTTGATTTTTTGATTGGTGATTGAGGTGTTTGTGGTAATGATTGTAATGAAGTAAGGGTTGAGGTTGTTGTGGTTGTTAATAATAAAGATGGTAATCTACGTTGTTGTAAACCTGACATTTTTTTTTTTTTTTTTTTTTGATAAAAGAATGAATAAAAAATACTATCTTGATCTATTTATTTGGTTACTTTTCCAAAAATATTTTGACAATTTACATTTACATATGGGAGAACATGCAAGCTCCTTATACGTCTCGGAAAAGAATATTAATGTTACATTAGTACAACAAATGTACTTTGAAAAAACAAACAGTTATTATTATGAGTGGCTTTTCAAAATTCTATTTTTGAACAAGCATTAATATTAACAATAATAATGAATCTAAAGATTGCGAATTTATAACAAGGTAATCTATACTATATAAATCAAAATTTTGTGATTATAATGACTTTTAAACTGGTCGTTTAACCGGCCTTTTAACGATCGGTATTTCGGTCATCTAAAAAAGAACTAGTTCATTGACCAAACACAACCTTAAAAAAATTATTTTATTACCCATTTATATTTGAAATAACTTTTATGCAAATTGAACTGCCGCCAATCAATGGTTTAATTCGTGATACGTGATAAAAGTCTAAATTTTCATTTCTTTGTGCGTGAAAATGAAATCTGTGAATTTGTAATTCACGTACGTGACATTCAAATTAGCCAATCAGAATGTCAAATCCAAACACCCCACCCCAAAATTTTATAAATTTCGATTTCACATACAACATTATCGTAAAAAAAGATGATCTCATTTTTAGTTTTTTAAATTGTTCAACAAAAATATTTATCTAAAATTGTTGCACTGATCTATTACTCTTATGACTTGACAATTTTTTTCAACGAGTACGAATGCATTTTAATTCATTTTCGCATACATTGAAATCAACTTTATGGTATCTGTAAAAAAAATTTGGCCAAGTCAATATTCTCATCCTCCATTATTAAATGCTCGCCTGCTAAAAGTGAATCTTGAATTTCATGATTTTCTTCTTCGACATTATTCAAAAATTCCAAATTTTCAAGTAAAATGCCAGTATGCTTCCAGAAATTTTTATTACTGTTGACGTTACATGCTTTTTTGGTAAAACAAATCACATCATATATTGTAACTAGTGCAACAGGTTTTTCTAATACTTGAACTGTCTCGTAAGCCTCAATGCGATCATGAACCAACAATTTTTTATACTGTGCTTGAATAATTCTCGCATCGTACGGTTGTAGATGACTGATAGTATTTGGCAAAAAAAAATTCATCTTTAGATTGCTCAAAGTATCCAAAATTTCATGAGAATCAACTGGTGCATTGTCGACCAATACTGACTTGCATCCATGCCGATTAATTAAATCGACAAAATTATCTTTATTTTTCACCATCAAGTGAACGAGAATTTTTATATTTATAGATAAACAACGGATCTAATTTCTCATCATCTGTTGCGTTACATGTCAAAAGGATTGTTACTCTATTTTTTTGAATTTTATGGCTGGTGTTTCATTATAAATTAAATTTTACAGCTTTTCTCTTTCGCTATGCTTGTTATACTATTGAAGATTATAACGCAGTTGGAAGTTACTTAATCATCCACTGGAACCTGAAAATCAGTGATGTTGAGAAGATTTTAAATTGTCGCGCTTTATTCAAAAGAATGTCGCTGCTAATTGTTAAATTTGCAGTTTATGCTTCATGACCCATAATACCGATGCTTCTTCAAATTCTATATACTGAGGTCGTCTAACCCCGTTTTTTTTTTTGTTATCTTGGTCGCTTGGATCAACTGCTAGATATTCAGCTTTTTTTTAAAGAATATCACTTGCTGTATTCGGATAAAATTCCAAATTCTTCTACAAGTTTTTTGTTTAAAGAATTTAGATTTTGTTTCTTTTTTTAAACACGATTCTCTTTTTGTAATAAAAGTTGATGTAGTTTTTTTTTTGCTATTTTTATTAGAACTTGACATGGTTAAAGTAAAGATTGCAGTTGAATTTGTAGAAGATTAAACAAATTTGGGTGAAAATTTGTTTGATGGTGTGTAAACATTTATTTTTAAACCGAACTTTATCATTACACAAATCTTCGGCTTAGAAAGTTTTATTTGTACAATCAATTAGGTTTGGTTAATCAAGTAAGGTAGAAATTATATCAAGATTCGGCTTAATGAATAATCTTTATTAAATATGATTTGACTAACCAATTTGCATCATTATAAAGTGAAAATTGGTTTATGGTAGTTCGGTTTATCGAGATTTGATTGTGCGCGGATTGTTAAGGCTTCTGTGCCTAAGTTTCGGTCTCTTGTTACAGACCAACGATACGGTGTCATGTTGGTATATTAAAATAATGAAATTCAATATAGTCCAGTTTTTTTCCATGATTGATTGTACATCTTTGACTCGATCCTGTGAACAAAACTTGCTACTCCTGGACCAGCATAAATAAAGAATAAATGTTGTTAAGATACATAATTTTACCCATTAATATTAACAATGATTTATTTCATTGATGATGTTCAATTTTATCAACAATCAATTTATCAATTTAACGATTCTTATGAGTTTCACTTTAGTTGTTTTGTTGTGCCTAATATTTATATTTTTTATAGAACCCATTGATTTGATTATTGTTTTTTAGGCGCAAAAAAATTGAACAAGTCAGGTGACTCTGCAAATCATTGATACATTTTCAAAAAAAACCAACTTTATTTCTGTTGTTAAAAGGAGAAATTTTAATTAAGATTTGCCCAAAATAGGAGTTGGGATCGTTAACCGGTTAAGGTATTTTTTTAACCGGTTAGCTCTTAATTTTAACGGTCAAAGAAATTTTGCGCGGTGCCAACCTCTAGCCCAAAACATTTCCTGTTGATCAAATTAGTTATAGGGTAATTCCAGTTTTTATTGATTTTGAAGCCGGCGATTCCCAGAGAACTGGTATTGTTTGACTATGTTAGATTCAAGGGAGTATTTCAGGTTAAAAATGAAAATGTCAAAATCAATTATCAATATACATTGCCTGTATTAAATAATTTAGCAAATTTATTTATCAATGTTTGCTTTATCTTTATACGCAGTAGAAATTCCAAAAGAAAAATTTAAAACCACTGCTGCAAAATTTAAGAATGTTGAATTTCATTTGATCAAAAGAAACAGACCAAGAACGATTTATACCAAGCGTTAAAATAACAATATTGCTAAAAAATAATTCAATACAATTAAAAAAGTTATGCTGACACATTTGAGATGATTTTTATATTGTAATTTTGTGCGAGTCGTCTGATTAATTTCTAGTGAGATAATATTGTTTATATGAAATTGACTGGCAGAAGACATAAATTTATTTCTTGGACCAATATCCGAAGGTATTTACATTGTCAATGTTTTTGCATCAATTTTCAACAAACCTTTTATAAAAACAAAAGGCAATGGAATATTTCTTATGTTGAATCATGTCTTTAATGAAAGCGCCAAAGATTTTAATTCTCAGATCTTCTGGAATCATTGACATCTACGGATGATCTATGAACTCCAACTCCGGTATTCCGAGGTCTATACCATGGAGAGATATGATTGAGGCTTGTGAGGCCAGTCTGGAAAATTTTTCTGGCGTAAACTTATCCCTTAAACGGTTAAACTAATAAAATTCCGGATTTTTATTTGTAACACGAAATTCTGCACGTTTGTACACGTGCGTAAAACATAAATTTTGGGTTTAACTCGTGTTGGTAAGTCGTGGTCTGTATTTGGTGCACTAACATCTTCAAGAACGTCCGTGTGACCTTCGTTTATATTTAATAAATATGAAAATGTATTGTTTAATGTTAATTGTAAAATCAATCATGGCCGTTTATAAAGGCAGAAAATTTGAGCTCAACATTAAAAGATCATTGGGCAACCGTAAAATAAGTCTTGTAAGGACCGAGTGAGTATTTTTTACTCACTAAGTAATTGTCGAGTTATTATGTATCTGAAGTTACACTGCTACTAGGATTTAAAAGAAAAGAAATTGAAAGCACTCCGTGTCCATAACTTGTGAAAGTTACCAGTTAGGTAACCAGACCTAATGTATGGTGGACGACCTATTATGAACGTTCTCTCTTTCATCCGAAAAGCCGCTGACTGCAGTGTCAAGGGCCTGTGGTGAATAGGATACATGAAAAATTTAAAAGCTCATCGTGGCCATAACTTGTTGGACGACTTGTTATGAACGTTTTATTTTGCTTCTTGATAATGATGAAACAAAACTTATTTTTTTTATATTATTATTTTCTAGACATTCCGGGGAGTTTGTTTATGAGTGTAAAAGATATGCCCTAATTGTCCAATGCAAATTAATCATGTTATTTAATATGAATATATAATATTATGGAGCTTGCCATAAAACTTACAAACTTAAAATTTTATAAGTTTTGCGCAGCATCATATAAACATTATGGCAGGCCTATAACTATTCCATAAAATGCACCCAAAAAAATGTCCTAATGACAGTGATGGGTTTATTGATTTGTATGGATGGATTCTTGAAAGCATAAAAAAAATTACTATATGAGATTTTCTGTGGTTCAAATATGATTATTAAATGACGGTGATGACAACTCGCATGCTTTATACCAAAATGTGAAATAAATACAACGACTGCTGAACTGTATATGATGAATTTTTCTAATCCATTATTTACTTGAAAAAATTCTTGAAAATCTACATGATGGCAATGTTGTTTAAAGTTCGACGGCATTTAATTGACTGATAGCTAGCTGAATTTAAAATATAGTTTCTAGAGTAGTCTTCCGAGCACGTGAAATTTGTTTGCTTGACGCTTCGAGTCTGAAGTCAAAAGATATATTTGCATTTTGATGAAAATTGCTCTTTTATGAAAATTATTATTGAAGGATAATGTGTTAGCTAAAAGAAAAGATTCATTAAACTAGTTCTGATCAGTAATGTCTTTGTTCAAAGTTTTAAAGTTAAACAATTTATTTATGTCGAAATTATCCATATTCATAATTTTAAATGTTTTAAATAATTCAGTTAGTCCTTTAGTCAAAGCACTTTTTAACTGAATTTCTTTAATTTCATACTGTCTTTTAAAAATGAATAAATTCTACATGCTAATAACAATAATATATCACATGATCACAGTGCTAGTAATAAAGATAGAATTTCTATCACTTGTAACAGTTTTAATTTATTAGTTTCTCAAATGAATTTTTATTTTTATTTTAGACATAAACAATAAAAAAATCATCTCTACATTTACTATCTTAATTGAGTACATATAAATTCATTTGATGAAAAATCTATAAACATAATACAATTGATAAATTAATGTCAACATTGTATCGACATTAAAAATATTACAAGAAAAATTGATTATTACAATTATGATTACTAATCTTTCAAAACTTCTTTATAGTTGGCCGTCAATTGAAATTAGCATCACCCAACTGCATGCCAATTCAATATAAATTATTGGAATGCCATTTTGGCAATCCAAATACTACTCCTTCACATATCTTTATTGCAAGATCTGTACCATGTGCTAAATTACTGAATCGTGCCGGTAGAGTCAATGACAAGAATGTTTAGATGTATCATCCATCTCTCCAGCGACTTGGATTCCAAGAATCCCAAATTCATTTTTATCAGGATTGTAACAGCCCTTATGCACATGGGCCAACTTCACCTTATCGTTCTCTTTTTTGCTCACGTAGTAGGCCAACACTCCAAAACTATAAATGTCTAATTCTATTGTGTATGATTCACTTGGTGCTATAGTATTAACATAATTTTTGAACTAAAAAAAAAGCAATATTTCAGTAATAATAACAATAATAAATGATAATGATATTTAAGAAAAAATCTGATACAAGTAACGTAATAAAAATCTATTTTTACCTCTTTAATTAATATTAGTTCGTTAGAAATATTTTGTGAATTATTTATTTTTTTTAATGTAACAAATCTATCTCCACAAACTCTCTTATCAGTTTTATATTTATAATCATTTATCCAATTAGCCTTGCATATAGTTGTAAAACCACCTTCGTCTATCTTTTCAATATCTTTCAGATCATAAGGGACCCGTTGAAGACATAAATAACTTTCATATACTTTTGCTTCAAGTTGTATACTTTTAATTATTCCATCCATTTTTCCATTCCTACTGGTCCATACTTCATTTAATAACTTCGGGTCGCATGATTGGCACCGTGAATAATCAGTATTATACTTCATTTATACTTATTACAAGTTAAACATCTCTGAAAAAAAAATTTTTGTTACACGAACTATTTAAAAAAAAATTTCAAGTTTTTGTTCAAGATTGATGTTGGAATTAGAATCACGTTTTACAGTAATGATTTCGATGTGAAATGTTTTTATGCTTTTAATACTTGGATAGCAGGATTATCATATAAAAGGCAAAAGATGCAAAAGAATGATTTATCAAAAGTCGTATGGAGATATTTGACACAACATCGTCAAAGGATGAAAATTAACATCCAGGAATGAATTATCGTAAGTTGGGGACCAAAGAAAAAGGTGTTTAGGAAAGATGTTCGTAAAATCTTCAAGGGTTGCTACCTTGTGATATTCATCTGCAATAACAACAACCATTGCAACCATTCACAATATTTTTAACAAAATCTTACATTGGAATATAATCTTGGAAACAATTTGTATGTTGATATTGATTCACCTTCACCATCTTTGCTTTCAATATCACTGCCACCATTAACCATTAAATACTGATAATCATGCTTCTATTGCTATTGCGAAAGCTATATAAATACTACTGCATGTGCAATGACAACAGCACTACGTCTCAACCATCGGGAAAAAATACGCAAATTGCGCGTTTAATATTGGTTTAATCTGCATAATAGATAAAATAAACGATAATACACTTATTCTAGACAATTGTAGTAGAGATTAAACATTTATTACATTTACTGATATATTAATTTTACACATCGTGTAAATATTTTCGTAATGCGTTAGATAAAGAATTCAATTAGGAGCAGAGATAGTGGAGATCAAATTTAACTTGCCAAACAAGTAGTACCAAGTGAACTGTTCAAAGGAATCTTAGTTAAAAAGAAAAGTGCCATTGATAAAATGGAAATGAACAATCAGTAAAAGGAATGAAGTTACTGATAAATGGAAACAAATTATTAAAAATAGTAATAACAGTCAAAATATAATAATTATTATTATAACAATGGGGGAGAAACATACAGCAGGAAATATCCAGACCTGAAAGACGAGAAATCTGATCAAGCCTTTTCATTAATACAAAACTTAATGTGTTAAAGTCAACATTAATTACATGGCATAAATGACCTTTAACGGGAATGATGCACAGAAATTGTAAACCAACTGGCTTACGAAGCCAAGAACCAAATAATATTTAGTTTACGAGATATGAAAATAGGAACATGGATATTAAATTTAAAATATATTTTGCCAATAATATGGAATTTGCTTTGTCATCAGCATTATTGAAATAAATAAATAAACAATTTTTTGTTGTACCATGTCTTATCAAACCAATTCATACATCTTCTTTTTGAAAATCGTCTGGCCAATAATATTATGTATTTTGTGAATATTTACGTTCTGGATAGTAGTTGTAGCAAGACAAATTCTGCTACCAAAGCATCACCGTTAAATACGGAAGATATATATTGTATCAGAAACTTTCTTATTGACAATATATTGACTTTCAATTCTTTGATAGAATTGGGAGAAAAAAATTCAATAATTTTATATAATAATTAATTATTATTATTATTGTAATTAATGATTATTAGATGAATTACCTGGTGTTAAATGTGTAATAATATTTGACGATAAATTTGGATTTCCTGAAGGATGGAGATTTCTATAAAAAATTGCATGAATAGATGGAACTCTGATCAATTTTGTTGGATCATCAACATCAACACCCAATGAATTATCTTCTGGAATATTTCTATCAATATAAATAATCATAATATATTTTAACAGTAAAGTAATGGATAATAATAACGTTGTTGTTATTATTTTTAATATCGATATTATTGTTGTGACAATTATAATACCTTGGATGATTAAAAACTCCAATAAACTCTACTACATCTGTAACCTTTAACATATTTTCACTTTCATAAATCTAACAAAAAAATTTTTTAATTCTCCTCCATAATAAAATTTTCAAAGATTTCACAACTTCAATAATAAAATAAATACTTTGACTATGGCTCCAACATGATTTTTATTTTTATCATTATTCATTAGTTTGATTGTACCATTCCACTGAATTTAAAATTTGAAGATGATGATACAGCAAACTTGAATTTATTTGAAGGAGAAGAAAAGGATGAAGAAGTTCTTTTAAAGTTCAGAAATTTCATTAGTATTCAAAGGTATTCTGATTATACTATTCCTGAAAATGTTTCAGAGGTAAAACATTCTTTTTTTTCTTTGAGATAATATATTGTTTGTTTATTATTTATTTACAAATTTACTCGGACGCTTTTATTTTTTATGATATGTCTCTATATAGTACATTCAAAAAGATTTCTTAAGTCAACGTCAACGTCAAAGTCAAAGATCTTCAAATAATGACAATAAGTTATTCTTATCTTCGGAAGACTTTATGCTACGTATGACTTTAGCGAGGTAATAAATAATTTGATAGAATTTTATTTTATTTCAAAAATATTTCTTTGCTAAAAATTAACACTTTTCTTTTTAAGATTGATTGCTTTAAGTTTTGGCGCAGAAGAATTAACAATAGACTTGTGGAATTATACACAAAAATTAGATGACGAAAGAAAGTTACGAATTGAACAATTTAAATCATTAGCAAAAAGAATTTAGAATTTATTTGGGAAAATAAAAAAAACTTATTTGATCTAAAACTTATTTTTTCCTTATTATTAAATAACTTTTATAACATGATTTTATTTAATATTAAATAATGTTGATTGAATTGTTTATTCGTCGTCATCTTCTCCTTCTTCATCATTAGCTATTTATAAAAATAAAATTAGTGGATATCCAATTTAAAAGCAATCAGGAAAACTTTTTTTTTTTAAAAAAAAAATATATATTACTTTTTGATGCTGATCGTAAGCGTTTTCTCTTTACACGTCCAGGACGTCCACCACCTTAAAAAAGATTATATATAAAATTATAAATTTATATTTTCTTATTATTATTACTATTATTATTAAGTTTTTTTTTTTTAGAATATTTACCATAAGGTGAAGTAAGTGCAAAATCAATGTGTTTTTGGGATTCGAGCCTTTTGAAAAAATTTAATGAATGTATGAATAAATTGTATGAATTAATTAATTAATTAATTAATCAATCAATTAGTAAATTAAAAATTATCAAATAGGTTTTTCTACCTGACGATAAAACTAGGAATATTGACAATTTGTTTTCCAACACTTTATTTCCAAAAAACAAGTAAAAATTAGTATATGTATGTATGTATGTTTCCTTACAAAAAAAAAATAAAATAAAATTTAAATTTCAACACATACCGAATATGACGCTGTCTTATCAGTACACGTGCATGATGAATAGATTTGGCCAAACCAGATTTATAGACTTGGGTTTGTAGTCTTCTTTCCAAGAAATCTTCAATTTTCAAAGCCAATACGTAATCAAGTTTCATCTTAGATTCATCCAACACACCAATTCTAACAAGTCTTCTAATCAATGCATTTCCTTCAAAAAGTCTACGAGGATCCTTGTCATCTAATGTTAACAATTCACGAGCAGCTCTTCGAATATTTGATAATGTATAAGCCACGCGCCAAATTTCGCGTTTGTTTCTCAATCCATAATCACCAATTAAGCGAAGTTCTTGGTCCATACGTTCCTTCTCAAAGGGACGACGTGGAACCTTGTAAGTCTTTGAGCCTATAACACAATGATGATAATTATAATAACAATAAGGAAAGATAAAAGAAAAAGAAAAGAGGTAAATTGAATATGAATGAATCAATTGTAATCATTGAATATATAAATTAAGATTTATTCAATTAGAAAAAATTAAACAAGTACAATTAATTGGAGCTCCTGGCATTTTTATAAAATTATTATTATATTATTGTAGAATTAATAACCAAGATTTTAGATTTTTTTAGATTTTTTTTTTAATTTAACCAATTAAATTTTAATCCACACAAAAAAATTATTGAATTAAAAAATTAAAAAAAAAGGTAAAAAAAGAATTCAATTCTATATTTATATAATCCACGAAAGTTTAATTTTTAATTCATTTTCTCTCAATTATTTATTTGTTAGATTTGAAGAAATGCCTCACTCATATGGTATCCGTGCTCGCACACGGTATATGTTCTCTCGTAAATTTAAAGATCATGGATATCTTAAGCTTTCAACCTATCTTAAAATATATAAAGTTGGCGATATCGTAGATGTTAAAGCAAACGGTGCAATTCAAAAAGGTATGCCGCATAAATTTTATCACGGGTAAGGGTCAATCAATCAATCAATCAATTACACATTTATTTTATTATTTTCAATTATCTTTTTTTTTCCAATCTAATCATTAAATCTTTTTTATGTGGCATGTGATAATAATTATTATAATAATAAAGACGTACAGGAATTGTTTATAATGTGACGAAATCTTCAGTTGGTGTCATCATTTATAAGCGTGTTGGTAATAGATACATTGAGAAGAGAATCAATGTTCGTATCGAACATGTAAAACATTCAAAATGTAGAGATGATTTCTTACGTCGTGTTAAAGAAAATGCAATTAAAAAGAAAGATGCTAGAGCTAAAGGAGGTTTGTATAAATTTGATTACATATGTATATAGAATTTTACGCTTACAAAATTAATTAATTGCATGTTCAAATTAAAATTATTTTTTTTATAGAAAAAGTAAATTTAAAGAGACAACCTGTACTTCCAAGAACTTCACGTCACGTCTCAACCAAGAAGAATATACCAACTACTATTACACCAATCCCTTACGATACACTTGTCTAATAAACATATTAAAAAATAAAATAAAATAATAATTGATTTAAAAAAATAAATAAATTAAGATAAAACTTTTTTTTTGCTATAATTTATCCTATGGGATGTAATCCACATGTATAGGAAGTCGTAATAATGAAAGTCTCTGACCAAAATACTATCAATCAATTGATAAATTTTACAATTACTATTAGTATTGTACGGATGAATTTCCAAAAGAAGATGCATTAATTGATTTTATAAGACACACATGTATAGGAAGTCGTAATAATGAAAGTCTCTGACCAAAATACTATCAATCAATTGATAAATTTTACAATTACTATTAGTATTGTACGGATGAATTTCCAAAAGAAGATGCATTAATTGATTTTATAAGACATGGTACAAAAAATTGTTTATTTATTTATTTTTAATAATGTTGACGATAAAGCAAATTCCTATATTATTAGCAAAAACATTGTTTAAATTTAATATCCATGCTCCTATTTTCATATCTCGTAGGCTAAATATTATTTGGTTCTTTGGCTTCGTAAGCCAGTCTGGTTTATAATTTCTGTGTATTCATTCCCGTTAAAGATCATTTGTGCCATGTAATTAAGGTTGGTTTTAGCATATTAGGTTTTGTATTAATGAAAAAGGCTTGATCAGATTTCTTGTCTTTCGGGTCTGGATATTTCCTGTGGTATGTTTCTCCCGTTATCGTTATAATAATTATTATATGTTGATTGTTTTAATGACTCGTTTCCATCTATCAGTGGCTTCATTCCTTTTATTGATGGTTCATTTCCATTTTATCAATGGTACTTTCTCTTTTAACGAAGATTCCTTTGAACAGTTTACTTGGTACTACAGTCAACCCCCCTAAATGCGCCCCATAAATGCACACCCTCTCTAAATGCACGCTTTCACTCATTCCCAAGCTCAGGGCTTAAGAGATAAGTGCACACCTCCATACCTGCACTGCACGGTCTTTTTTCATTCCCAACTATATAAAACCACTCCCTAAATGCACGCCCGTGACTTTCACGTGATTTTATGCATTGTTAATCGTGTAACCTTAGAAAATTTTACAAATTTGGCTTTGACTTAATTCCCAAAATCTCAATTTTTAATCAAAAAGTCACCTAATTGAGTCAATTGTAAGCATGTTAGCTGAAGTTGGCTCTCTTAATAATGGTGAAATAGTTTTTCATAAATGCTGAAATTAATTTTATTAGTTGCCAAAATTATATCTGAAAGTATTTGGATTCAGCATGAGAGATCCACAAGATCAAAATTGTTTCTCAATCTGAAAAATGTGTTATATAAGCAGTATTTTGTTAGTTATGGAATTTGCATTTGGATTTACTTTTTTGTTTTTATTCCTATATTCGAAGCAATGTTTTTACTACAGGATAAATCAAGGAATTAGAGATACTGACAATGTTCCAAATAACCTGTTAAAGTACATTGGTTTATTCAAAAATAAGACCTTAATATCCCGCAAGATCAGGAAGGTAAAAATCAGAGACAATGGGTGAATGAAGCATTTATAATATGTTAAAGAATACGAATCTGAAACCATAAAACCAAAAAATTTAGGAGATTGTTATATTTTATATGCATGGTTATTTATTTAGAGATCCTCTGTTTTAGTATCATCTAAATGTAAAAACGAAATAGGACAGTTCTGCATTACAAAGGAAAGCATTTGGAAGAAAAGGTGTTTTGGTCAGAATTAATAAAGATATCTTATGGATTAAATCTGTCAGCAAGTTATTTATTTCAATTACCTATAATCTTTGCAAATTTTAAGAATATGATTTGCAAAAATACCACAAAAAAAGAAATTATTGTAAAAAAAGTTGAAATGTCCTTCAATAATTATATAAGTTAATAACACCAGGCAGAAGAGAATTAGTACTTAAAATTTTTAATGAAATGAATGATATGGCTTATTCTGTTTTTCGAACTACTTCTAATTCTGACTGTGAAAATAGAAAAAGTTATTTTTTACAATTAGTCAAAGAAAACAAAGAACTATTGGAAAATGAAAAGGAGTATTGTAGAGAAAGGTTTATTCATAATTTCGAATTAAACAATGCAACTTATAAATGGGGTGAACCAAGAGAATGCAATAATTGTAAAACAACAAGATACTCTGACAAATATTGTGAAAAGTGTATTAGTCTACACTTGCATAGCCTTTTCAGTACTTGGACATCTGGAAATGAGATAATTGATGGTTTTATTCAAAAATATCAACAACTTTCATCTCCTCCAGATCAAATTATAGAATGGGTACCTTATGAACAATTTTATAATATAAAAAAGGTGGATTCAGTTCTATTTATACTGCTGGGTGGATAAGAGGATATATTGATGATTACAATGAAAATAAAAAGGAGTTTAGTTATTTTGGAGATCAGCTTGTAGTATTGAAATCATTAAATAATTCGAGTAATCCAGGAAAACCTTTTTTTGATGAGGTGATTGATCTTTTAAAATTAAACCATTTATTTTAAATTAATTTATTTATATAATTAATTTCAGGCATTAAATTATTGTAAAATTAAATCAAATGGAATTACTCCTTGTTTTGGTATAACTAAATTCCCAGAAAATGGAAATTATGCAATGGTTCTTGGTTAACATCCAGATAGAAATTTAAGAGATTATATACAAAAAAATCATTATAATTTAACATCAAAGGATAGAATTATGATTTTCAAGTATTTATGTGATACATTATATATTATACATAAAAAAGATTTAATTCATTGTGATTTACACAGTGGTAATATATTATTGGATGGAGGTATTTGTTATATCACAGATTTAGGATTATGTGGACCAGTTGATGAAAAATCATCAAATAAAATTTATGGAATTATATCTTATATTGCACCAGAACTATTTAGAGGAAAAAAATACACAAAAGAAACAGATATTTATAGTGTTGGGATGTTAATGTGGGAAATATTTGCAGGTCATCCACCATTTGATGATGAGGCACATGATCTTCATTTGCAATTAAAAATATGTGAAGGTTTACGACCACCAATATTACCAGGAATGCCAGGTGATTATGTACAAATGATGCAAAGATGTTGGGATGTAGATCCAGCCAAGAGACCAACTAGCAAAGAGCTTTGGGATTTTTCTCATAATGAATTTAAAACTGAGAGTCCTAATGAAAGTAGTAGTAATATTGGTGGTGGTGGTAATAATAACAGTAGTGGTGGTAGTAGTAGTAATAGGAATGGTAATAACAGTAATTCACAACAAGTACACAAATCACATCCATTAGCATATCATACAAGTAGAATATTAAATGATGGAATTGCTGAATTGAATTTAAGTAATGATAGCTTATTAAATTATGAAATATAGTTTATTAATCGAAATTTATTAATTTAAATATGATTATTTGTTAATTAATTATAACAATAATAGTAATAGTAATAAGTAGTTAGTTGATAAGGTTAAAGTTGGAGAATGGGGTGAATCATTTATTGGTAGATAAATGATTTATTTTGTTTGTTTTTATTATTTTGAAAATAAATTTCCTCCAGACACATATTTATAATTGAATAATTAATATAATGCATAATTTTCAACACTAATACTATTTACTAATATTAATAACAATTATAATATTGAATTTATATTTTTTTGTTTAGGAATGATTGACACAAAATTAACTAAAAAGACATTCCATTTCTTTTGCTAGATGTTTTTCACCTTCGCACCAATGTAGAAAAATTCAATGCCAGGAATGCTGTGGTATTCTAAATAATCTCTAAAGCTCCACTAGCTACATTGCATGACGAATTTATACATTCAGGTACCATACATCTAAAAATAGGTGCTTCTTTTATTAATGTTGGCACTACGTGTGATTTAATAAATTTGTCAGAGTAAGTGGTGGGTTGTCTTGATATAATAGTGGATCTTTGTAGCTATGATAATGTTGTAGAATGGTGAAGGGATTATCGATCTCTTCAAGGTAAGTTTCAGTAATTTGTTTATTAGGTTATTTTTGTAGCAAATATTTCAATATAGTTTCTTGTCTATGCGGTTTTTCTGCTTC